TCATTATCTATACAAGTCCAGTAATCTTACCAGTCATTTGATAATGCAAACTTTCATTACCAATTTACTTACCACACAAGTCACTGTACCAAAAGGAAACGGTTAATGTTCAACCATTTCAAGAGGTAGCATACGATCCAGAGCCAATGCTACTGAAGGAGGAAATCCAAGGTACATTGAAGGAATTGGTGAGGAACAAGGCACCAGGAATTGATGGAATCAAAACTGAAATCTTTCAAGAAAGTGAGGCGGCACAGGAGGCACTCACTCATCTCTGCCAAGAAATTTGGAAGACAACTATCTGGCCTACTGATTGGAAGAGATCCATACTTGTACCCATTCCAAAAAGAGGTGACTCAGTGGAACGCGGAAATCATCAGGCAATATCTTTGATAGCCCATGGGAGTAAAGTTTTACTAAAGATAATACAGAAATGGTTGCAAGCATACATTGACAGAGAACTTCCAGAGGTTCAAGCCAGATTCAGAAGAGGCTGTGGAATGCGGGATATCATTGCTGATGTCCAATGGATCTTGGCTGAAAGCAGAGAATATCATAAAGATGTTTACCTGTGCTTTACTGGCTATGCAAAGGCTTTCAATTGTGTGGATCATGACAAACTATGGACAACATTGCGAAGTATAGTATTCTGGAACACTTAATTGTGCTCATGAGGAATCTGTACCTGGACCAAGAGGCAGTTGTTTGAACAGAACATGGGAACACTGAATGGTTTAAAATTAAGAAAGGTGTATGACAAGGTTGTATTCTTTCCCCATACTTATTCAACCTGTATGCTGAGAAAATAATACTAGACGCTGAGTTATATGAAGAAAAATGTGGCATCAGGATTGGAGGAAGACTCATTAACAACCTGCGATATGCAGATGATACAACTTTGCTTGCTGAAAGTGAAGAGGACTTAGAACATTTACTGATGAACATCAAAGAGCACAGCCTTCAGTATGGATTACATCTCAATGTCAAGAAAACAAAAATCCTCACCACTGGACCAATAAACAACATTGTTATCAATGGAGAAAAGATTGAAGTTGTCAAGGACTTCATTCTTCTTGGATCAACTATCAACCCTCATGGAAGCGGCAGTCAAAAAATCAAACAACGTATTGCATTTGGCAAATCTGCTGCACAAGAACTTTTAAAAGTGTTTAAGATTAAAGATGTCAGCTTGAGGACTAAGGTGAACCTGACCCAAACCATGGTATTTTTCAATCACCTCATATGCATGCGAAAGCTGGACAGTGAATAAGGAAGATAGTAGAAGCATTGATGCTTTTGAGTTATGGTGTTGGAGGAGAATACTGAAAGTACCATGGGCTGCCAAAAGAACCAACAGAACTGCTCTGGAAGAAGTGCAGCCAGAGTGCTCCTTAGAGGCCAAGATGACCAAACTTCATCTCTCATACATCAGACATATTGTGAGGAGGGACCAGTCACTGGAGAAGCATATCATGTTTGGTGGAGGGTCAGAGATAAAGATGAAGACCCCCAATGAGATGGATTGGTCAAATGGCAACATCGATGGACCCAAGCGTGGCAACAGTAGTGAGGTTGGCCTAGGGTCAAGCAGTGTTACCTTCTGCTGTGCATAAGGTCGCTATGGCTTGGTATTGACTGGATGGCACCTAACAAAAACAGCAACAATTTAATCTCACAAACTAAACACCACTAGCTATATGTTTTCCCTCTATTTAGAATGCACTTCTCCCAACTTTAAACATCAAATTCTTAAAAATCTAGAATAGAGAGGGTTAATGGCAAATAATGCGACCCCCCTGAAAATCTTTCCCAGCAGTTACAAGTAATTTTCATACATTTTGCTAAAATCTTTTGGTCTGCAGTTTTTTGAAGTAATATGTTCTTTTAAATTGTGATTTATAGTATATAACTGTTCATTGTTTTGACTGATTATATGCAACTTTTCTACTCTCTTTTTCAACAAATGTAGTCAATTTGATTTCTGTGTATTACATCTGTTGAAGTTCATGTATATAGATGTCTTTTGTGTTGTTTAAAAATATGTATTCGAAATGAAAGAGTCATTGACTTTCCAAAATTCTATCGTGTGATCTCCAGCATCATTTCTGTCATGGAGGTCATATTTCCATCTACTAACCTTTCCTCTTTGTTTCCAACCTTTGCATTCCAATTGCAAGTAACTATCAATACATCTTGTTTGCATGTTTGATCAATTTCAGACTGAAGAAGTTGGTAGAATTCTTCAATTTCATCATTACTGGGTTTAGTGGTTGGTACATATATTTGAATTATAATGGTATTAAATGGTCTTCCCTGTTTTTTGTTATTGTTAAGTTCCTTTAAGTTGGTGCTGACTCACAGAGACCCTGTGTGTGGTTTCTAAGGCTTTAAATCTTCCCGGGAGCAGAAAGCCTTATCTTTCTCCCATGGAACTACTGGTGGGCTTGAACCATGGACAGTGTGGCTCACAGTCCAGTGTTTATCATATGGAACCACCACAAGCCCAGTGCTCCTAGTAGGCATGTGAATATTATCTTATCACAGACATTATACTTTAAGACAGGTCCTGAAATGTTCTTTTTGATGATGAATATGATGCCATTTCTCTTCAATTTGCCATTCTTGATATTGTAAAACATGTGATTGTCAGATTCAAAATAGCCAATAACAGGACCTAGGATATCCATGTTTATGCTTTCTAATTAATTTTTGACAATTTCTTCCTAGATTTATACTAAATACATTCAATGTTCTGATTATTAATGGATGTTTGTTGCAGTTTCTCTTCATTTTGTGTTGTGCTCCATCAACAAATTAAAGTCCCCTTTACTTTACTTCATTTGTGCCATCATGGTCAACTCTACTTGAAGATACAGCTCTTCCCTAGTCATATTTGAGTGCCTTCTAACACAAGGGGCTCATCACTCTATCTGACAATTTTCTGATGCTATTTATATATTTCAGCATTCAATATTCTGGTGCTATCTGACAGTGTTCTACTGCTATTCATAAGGTTTTCAGTTGCTAAACATTCAGAAGTAGTCCTCTCCTCCTTCCTAGTCTGTTTCAATCTGTGAAAGCTCAGATGCAACCTTTCCACCATGGGTGCTCCTGATGATATTTAAAATACCTGTGATACAGCTTCCAGCATTACAGCAACATACAAGCCACTACAACACCACAAATTGGCAGTCAAGTAGTGGGTAACATTGTATTGAAATCATTTATCATATTTAAATATCAGTCCCTTAGGTAGAAACTCATATAGTTTATGAGGTAAGATTACCAGTTTAACTCCCGTGCCCAGAAAAGTACCTGATGCAGTTCTTAATATAGGGCAAACTTAACTTGAACTCTGTAATAGCAAGAACACTACTTCAGATTTTTGTATATTTCCAATACTTGGTCTAGGGTTGTAAACATAGTTGTTAAGTGCCATGGAGTTGATTCTGACTCATAGAAACAGGGTTTTTGAGGAGCAACTGGTAGGTTTGAACCCCTGACCTTGTGGTTTGCAAACCAGTGTTTATCTTACAGTGCCACAACTGGAGTCTATAAACATAGTGGGTAATGAATATTTTATATCTGAATGAATGGTTTAATATTGCTAGATCAATGATATGAATTTTATTTTTATCTTTTTATGTAAATGAAACTCTCTAGACAATTCATAATTTTATTTATTTATTTTATATTCTCTGATTTAGGCAATTTAATTTATGTGCCTGGCTCAGTATGAGACAAATAGTATTTTACTCCTCAATAAATTTTATATTTTAACTTATATGAATATATTAACAATGCCTCAAAACCCTAGCTAGACATGATTGTTTTATTTTCTTCTACTTTTAATTTTAAAACTTGTATTACAGATAGTGGGAGTTGGCATCCAGGATGAATAGTTCACATATTTACCCACCTGCCAAAAATTGGGATCATGGAATTTTTTTTTAACCCTCAGCAAGATTTACAAATTTAAAATGTCATTGTACATATGCAAATATTATGGAAATGCTTTTACTGATTAGGATAACTCTGAAAAACCTAATTACATTCCTGGCCTACCCATCTGTGAGAGCAGTCAATCAGCAAACTGGTTATCATACTTAGATTAAAAGCTACTTTGCAGTAATAATACCTGTTATGTAACTGAGAAGCTCAAGAACTGCTAAACACTATTATCAAGTGACCCAGTGAAAAATAAAAAAAGAGTTGTCTTTGTTTAATTACACAGCAATTTCATGCAGATTATAATATGAAACCATACTTTTCTCAGAGTATTAGGGCTGCATTTTAAAATGTACCCATCTAGCTCAAATTGGAAATAAAATATTAAAAGTATCAGTGGAAATTTAGGGTGTCATTTTGGATTTAACTTATCTTTGAAATAGTAGTTTGTTAAAATTGTTTTAATCATTGAAATACCCAAAATACTAATGTGATCTGAGTATGTTTCATTTTTTAGAAGAATGCATGCCTTGAACTCTTTTTAGTTTTATTTTCAGAAGAAAACCACTGAGAAATTGCTGTTGTGTTCAGAGTTTTGTATTTAATGTAGGTGTGTTCTCTACTAGCTTTTTTGCTTTTTCCTTTTCCTTTCTCTCTTTCCTTCAAATAATATATGTTTATAGTATATACAAGGAGCTCTGGTAGCATAGTGGTTACGAGTCAGGCTGCTAACCTCAAGATCAGCAGTTCGAAACTACCAGCTGTTCTGTGGGAGAAAGATGAGGCTTTCTGCTTCTGGAAACCCTGTGCAGGGTCTCTGTGAGTCAGAACCAAGTCCACAGTACTTAACAACAACAACATAGTGTATATATGTACTCTCAGCTATATATGTTCTTTGTTTTGTAGGCTAAGGTTTTATATCAATGGAATGGTATATGTGTTTTAATGAACGGTACCAATCATGTGATGACAGAGTGATCTTCCTAAAATGTGAATTGCTTGCCATGGGGTATACATATATAATTTATATGCTTTTTTTTTTTTTTTTTAAGGAAGTACAACAATATCTAGCTAATCTGGCTGAACAGTGCAGTGCTGATAATAATGGTGTGGAGCTTCCAGTTGTAATAATTCTTGATAATCTTCATCACGTGGGTTCTTTAAGTGATATCTTCAATGGTTTTCTCAACTGTAAATATAACAAATGGTATGCTTATCAAAATTTTAAATGATTAAATATGAAAAAAATATGATCAAATTTGCATTCTTATGCCTTTATAATTTTTAGAAGTAAAATGAGTGTCACTGATTTAAGAAACCCTCATTAATATTATAATATATTGTCAAGGAATCCTTATATATCAACATATATATTAGTTGTAACACTACCAAATTTCCTAATCAAGGAATCGCTGCTATTGATGCAAACCTTTAAAGTCTAAGCTGCATAAAATAAGTGGTGAAGCAAGAATATAAATTATCTTATATTAGTTTTGCCAGAGTGCTCCTTGGAGGCCAGGATGGCCTGACTTCATCTCTCATACTTCGGTCATATTGTCAGGAGGGACCAGTTAATGATGAAGGATATCATATTTGGTAAGGTGGAGGGTCAGAGAAAAAGAGGAAGACCTGTAGATGAATTGGCAAATTAGCAGCATCGACGGGCTTAAGTGTGGTAACAATTGTGAGATTAGTTTAGGACCAGGCAATGTTTGATTCTGTTGCTCATAGGGTCACTATAAGTTGTTACCAACTTGATGGCACCTAACAACATGTTAGTTGTGTTGTCGTTAAATGCAGTTGAGTCAGTTCTGACTCATAGAGATCCTGTATATGGTTTCTGTGCAGTGACTGGTGAGTTTGGACCATCGACCTTGGCGGTTTAAACCTACTGTGCAGTCCAGTGCATTATCCTACAGTGCCACACCAGGACTCCATTATGTTATTTAGAATCTGTAAAAATAGCTGTGAAGTACTTGGTTAGAAAAAAAATAAAATTAGGTTTATAAGTGATAAGATGTTAGAATGTGGTGAGACTGGTGTGGTTATCCTAACCTCTTCATTGTAAATGGATACACTTAGCCCTGAGAGGAGAAATGATGCCTCTGTATGCCAGAACTGAAATTAGCATTACAAATCTTAATTTCCATCCCAATGATACTTGTTATTTTCCAACCTCAAATTACAAAATTATTGTTTTAGAACCCAGTATCAAAATGGAATTATTCATATTCATATGAATTGTTTTCTAAGCAGTTTTACTACATTAGTTTCTTTTATTCTCATTGTTTCTTAATTTACCTTCCTGTACTTTTTTTTTTTCTTTTCCTCTCAGTCCTTATATTATTGGGACAATGAATCAGGGAGTTTCTTTGTCGCCAAATCTAGAGCTGCATCACAATTTCAGGTAAAAATAGATCATATGTATGTGTATACGTACCTTGTGTTTGTGTGTTTGTTTTTTTATTGTCGCTTTTACTTTGTTTTTGTTTTGTTTTTTTCTATTTTCAAGTTGACAGATTCTGCCAGTGGCAACGTGTGATGTGCAAACAGTTCTCACTTCTTCATATCCTTTTTGTCCAGCAGAGATTTTATGATCCTCTCCTTGTAATCAGAAGTCTTTAGAAAAAAATACTTTCCTGCTCACTCTCTCACTTTTCTTCTGACTGTGAGGAATGTGAAGAGAGTTCCTATTTCAGGATTTGTGATTCTCCTACAGAAAAGTGCTCAGCATGTATCCTCCTCCCACTCACCTCTGACGCACATGAGCTCCTCTTCAGCTCAAAGAAGAAGTTAAGTTAAAGCTGTAAAGCTAATAAACTTCTTAACCCCTTTGATGGTAGGGCTCTTCTTCCATTGAAATAGGAACATAGCAACTTTACATTGAACAGGGAATCACTATGGACTTAAATTTTAATATATATAAAATAGTTTATCTCTTTTTCTAGGTGGGTACTATGTGCAAACCACACAGAACCAGTGAAAGGCTTTCTAGGCAGATATCTTCGAAGGAAATTGATAGAAATAGAAATTGAAAGAAACGTACGCAATAATGACCTAGTCAAAATTATAGACTGGATTCCTAAGACGTGGCATCATCTCAACAGTTTTTTGGAAACACACAGTTCTTCTGATGTTACCATAGGTAAGTTTCAAAATTACAACTCAGGTAATCCCTGGGTTATGATTGTCTGACTTATAGACACCCCATAGACAACTTGCTCTTACTGGTCCTTATTTTGAAAGGACTGAATCAACTCCTACTCACAACAAATTCTTTCATCACAATCACTTTAACTTGCTGCATGTACAGCTTCTAAATTCTTGAAAGGCTTTGGACCTTTTCTTGCACTAAAGTAAGGCTAATCAAGAGATGTATACACCTGTACTGGCTTACCTACAAAGTCGACTTAAAGATACACTTACACATGGGCCCATTCATAACCTGATGTTGTTGTTGTTGTTAAGTACCATGGAGTTGGTTCCGACTCATAGTGACCCTACACAGGGTTTCCGAGGCTGCAAATCTTTACAGAAGCAGAAAGACTCATCTTTCTCCTGCGGAACAGCAGGTAGTTTCAAAGTGCGGACCTTCTAGTGATCAGCCCGGTTGGATTCGTAACCACTACACTATCAGAGCTCCTTTACACCTATAACCTGTCACCCATTCACCAGAAACAATGGGTGACAGACCATAATGAGCAAAGCTAATGTTTGCCAAGCTTCTAAAGATTAAAGTTTATCTTTTTCCCTTCTGAAAGTTTGCTTTCTTTTAAACTTTGTCTAATTAAAATTAGATTAATTTTTATCAAACATTCATAGTTTATAAAATCTCAAATTACTGATAACAAGTAAGTTTAATATCGATTGTTGCTGTAGTTGTTACAGACTGTTGAGTCGGTTCCACTCATAGCAACCCCCTGTACAGGGTTTCCGAGGAGCGGGTGGTGAGTTTGAACACCTGACAGTGTGGTTCACACTGACCTTGTGGTCCAGGGCTTATCCTACATTGTCACATCAAACTCCTAATCTATAGATAAATACCTAATCTAATTGGTAGATAAATATCCAAAAACCATCTGACCATTTGAAATAAACAGTATTTCTTTAAGCTACCTTTGTTATGATAAAAACAAGTTTTAGCTTATGACACCTATTAAATATAGTTGTAAAAAAAAGATAAAGACAATTTAGGTATTTAATATTTATTCAAGCAGTCCTGTTAAGCATTGGGCTACAGTTGTAAGGTTGACAGTCTGTCCCCACCCAGTGACTCCATAGGAGAAAAAACCTGGCAATCAATTCCTATAATTATTACAGCCTAGAAAACCCAATGGTGCAGTTCTACTCTGTCACATTGGGTCACCGTGACTCAAAAATAGACTCAATGGCAAGTCACAACAGCAATATTTTTTTTTCAAGAAAAAAAATTTTGAATTATGTTTCTTTAATTGACACAAAGATGTTTATTTTTGTATTTTTTTTTCAAGAAAAAAAATTTTGAATTATGTTTCTTTAATTGACACAAAGATGTTTATTTTTGTATTTCTTCTTAAGTTGATTACATGGAAGTCCCTTTCACATCTGTATGAATCACTAAGATTTACTTAGTAAAGACAGTTTGGAGATTAGAAGGAAATTTTCAAATTTGGGCAACAGAAGCTCTAGACTGTGTCCCACTTCTGAAAATAACATTTTCTATTCGGCAATGCTTTTCAGCACAGTTTCCTCTTTTGTAAAATGGAGCAGGTGGACTGCATTATGACATTTAAGATTTCTCCTAACTATATAATATCTTAAGCTAATAGATTAAGATTTCATTATAAAAAGAAATAAGATGCAAGGATATTTTGTCTTTAGTAAAATATATGATAAAAATAATGAAACTATCCAAGATTATTATTTTGTAAAAAAATCATGCAAAAATTATAAGCCCCTGAAAATAGTGCATAAAGATATGTTTATATTGTTCAAAGTAATACCTCTAGAAAATGTTTTGTTATTTGTTTCTTTCCAGGTCCCCGCCTCTTCCTTCCTTGTCCCATGGATGTAGAAGGTTCTAGAGTGTGGTTCATGGATCTCTGGAACTATTCTTTGGTACCTTATATTCTGGAGGCAGTGAGAGAAGGTCTTCAGGTAGTCTTCAGTGGTCTTTACTACCTTATAAAATGAAAACAAATTCTTTCTTTAGAGCCAAAACTTTAATTTCCATGGGTATTTCTGCAAAAAAGAAAAGAAAAAAACCATAAAGGCATGCATTATATATAGTGCTAAAGTAAGAATGACTAGTACACAATACTTGTCTATTCCAAAAACAGATATTGTTGTTGTTGTTAAGTGCCGTCGAGTCGGTTCCGACCCATAGCGACCCTGTACAGGGTTTCCGAGGGTGTAAATCCTTACGGGAGTAG